GATTTATGTGGCGCTACATTCATCTTTTGTTGTTCTCATCACGAACGTTTTGATCGAATTATGAAGCATAAATAGAGGTTGGCAATTGCAAGGCATTTATGCATGCAAAAGAAGAATCATTACGGGTTAAAATCTTGCCATCACATTTAAGAAGCCGTGCGACATTAAGGAGAAATTTTTGAGAACCAACCAAATGGTTGTTAACTATTGCAATAAAAGAAAAGGTAAGCCATTAGGTGGAAATTATAAGTTACAAACCTTCTGACCATGCAAAGAAGGATCACTACAGCTAACTTATATCATCTCACTATAAACTGCCAGGATTCTTACCTAGTTAATGGGAGCTAAATTGAACCACCATGAGGACCATTCCAATGATTCAAATACATACAGCTTTAGCGATTAAAAAAAAATTAAGCACGAAAATCACTATAAGCATAAAAAATTTGTCCGACAAGGATAACAGAAATTTTAGACAAACTAAGATTTAGATTTATTCGACATGCAAGTTATAGTTATCCATTCTACCCAACATTCGTTGATTCATGTTGATGAAAAAATGGGAGTTGCGCAATATTGTTGACAAAATAATTAATAGAACTATGTACATTAGCATCTCAATCATTAAAGCGCTACATTAAGGAACACATAAAAAATGAAAATGCTGATGATTTACCTTTTTAAACATCATCGCCGTAATTACTTTTAATGCTGATCCAAGCTCCATTATAAGTATCTTTCATAATTTTAGTATAAATTTGACCTAAAACTTTCTTAGTGTTTGTTTGGGGCAGCTTGTGCGTTCCAGGATGAGCAGCTTATCCTGAAACACAGCCTGCGGGTCGACCGCGGGGGTCAACCCGCGGCCTGCGTTTAGTTTAAAAAATTCAAATGCGGCAGACAACATTTTAAAAAATGCGTAAACCAAACGGTTAGACGAAGTTTTCAAAAACGCCGCCATACTTTTAAGCTGCCCCAAACGGGCCCTTAATCTTCACAAAACAAAATCTTGTGGCGTTCAATCATGTCATCTCAAGTTCAATAAAGGTAAAGGTTTAAAATTGCGCAATTGAGTACTAAAGCATTTTTTATGTGAGGCATAAGACTCAAAGTGTTTTGAGGAGTAAGCCTAAAATAAAAAAATTACATAAATTAATAAATATAAGTGTGAAGTAAGAATAACATATTAATATTCTAACTTATTAACAAATTAAAAGATAATATGATAATATTCGTATTAAAATAATAATAATAAATTACATAAAATTAAAAATAACACGTTAATATCCTAACATTAAATTATGAAACAAGATGGGTTATAAAAATATTAGAATATTAAAATAAGCTAAGATACTAAAACAAAATATTAAAATATCAAAATGTAACAATCAAAATAAGTTCAACATAAATCTTTTCTCTAACTCATACTATCCCTCAAGACGCGCTTCATATTGCACAATATTAAATAAGGGTGAGACTTAAGTCTTGTGCCTCAATTTGAAGCGCATTTCAAGACATATCTCATACCTTTTGAAACAATGGTAAACATAAGAAATCCTAATCTTATAATGAATTCAGATTTAATGAAATCAATATTATACTCCTAAATCTCTAGTTTCTCTCTACCCCTTTCTAGTTTTCTCTCTTCCCCCATTTGTTGCTTTACCTTTTTATATCTCAATCGCCTTCTATTTTTTAATACTATTTCCTACGTATTTGTTTTTTTTCTTCGGTTTCACCAAGTCATATATTTGCAACTATCCATAGCCGCCGCACCCACCATTCACCAAATATCAAGCGAGGATGCCCATCTACTGACTAGGAAGCGTTATTGGTTCGGGAAGTTGAGTCTCTTGTCACAAGAGAATGCACAATACTATAGAAAGGGGAATAAAATTGATACTCCATGAGGATACCATAAAGAAAGCATGAACTTCACAAATAAAAAATCATAAAAAGTGTTGAGCGCTTAGCCTCCCCTGATTCAAAATCATTACTTTTTTAATTCATGAATGGAACCTTCTAATACATGTCATTACTCTTTCCAAATGTCAATTTATATAAGACCAAATAGCATTTTTATATTCATTTATTTCTCACCTATTACTTAAGGTAAAATAATACTATCATAAAATCATAATACATTATGTTTTGCTAAAAAAAAAAATCAAACCATGTTCCACAAAGTAGAGCATGACTTCTATTTTATTTTAACTGCAAAACAAAAGTAATAAGTAACATCCATGAAAATTTCCCTTCTAATTGCTTTTGAAGACCCTTAGATATCTCATCAACAACCAAAAAATAACAAAATTGCTTCCTTTAAACATTATTGATTCTACAAACAAAAAATAATGGTACTAAACACAAAGCTTAGGTTGTTATTCTCCTCTAAAAGCTATATTAGTCAAGCTTGTATATAGTTAGCTTCAATCGCCATCTCTTCAAACAACCATCCAAAAACTAGCTAAAATAATTACAAAATTCCATCAAAACTAAGTATCTTACAATTATTATCTTCCAACATAAGAATAATAAATCCAAGGACAACAGATATTCTACATTTCCTGAAAATAATCTATATCAAAATCATCTATTGCAACAAATGACTCCCTAACTCCCTACCACTCTACTTCAACATGATTCAGGTGTCCCCCAAAAAATCATACTATTTTAGAATATAGTGTATCAAATATGCCTGGACATCTGCTAGATTCACAAAGTCCTAGAGTTGAAGCATATGAAGAAAGGCATTATAATTTTAGGAGAATCATAAGTCGAATATTTGAAGCATATGAGTATCGGGTTATATATTCAGAAAAATCATAGCTTTCATTAAATTTGAAGATAAGAGATCATGGCTTTGTGTGATTGACTTTTGGCTTTTAGAAAATTCTGTTTTAAAACTGTCTTTAGAAAAAGTAGCGTTGTAAAGAGGTATGTAAATAGCAGTTGGAAATAGCAAAAAAAATGAAGTTTTGTGGAAAGCATTTTTAAACAAGCATTAAAACCAAACTATTCACCAAATAAATACATGATATTTCCTGAAATAAAAAGTGATAAAAAAGTTGTTTCAAACAAGGCTTTTATCTTTGGAAGTATCATATTCAAATCCTAACATTTGAAGCTAGCAAAAAAGGAAAACAACTAAGAGATGTTTTGAGGCATTTTTGCCTCACCCCTGGCCCAAGGCGAGTCCAAATCATGGCCTGAAAATATCTTTTATAACAGTATCTCTAAGTCAACAATGTATGGGATAGCACAATAATTAATTCTTGAAATATACACATTGCTTGATAAATGCGGATTACATTTACACATCTTATCATAAAAAACTTTGTTCAATTGTACTTGCATCCCTACTTTTTTAAAGGCTAACAATACTAAAATGAACAAAATGAAATAAGAACATTTTAAGGTTAGTTGGACACATTTACCAAATGTAAAAAATAGTTCCAAATATTTAATATACCAACAAACATTTTATCAGCATAACCACTTTCTCGATTATTACTGAGCAGAATTTACACCCAAAAAAATGATACAATATCAGTACCATCTTCCACATCCCTAGTACAACTTGTCTTAGCTACTATTTCTTCTAACCATCAACCAAAATGCATAACATTTATACTAATTTTCCACGTAAACCCCATCAAAGAACCTTTAGATATCTCCCATACCACATTTCTTCTTAGAAACAATAATTATTCCACAAAAGATCAAGGATTTATGAAGCAAGTACACTTCAAAATGTGTTTCAAGTTTGTATCGATCAAGTTTTGGGCACAAGTCTGCCTTCAACACACCCTAAAAAGTGCAAAAAAGCCACCAAGTTGAAAATCATATATTATGCTCTTCCCAAAACTAGAGTTGAACACGACCGAGATACATTCCAACAATGCCATCACACATAACGATAAATTGTATTTCATATGATGAGACAATTTTGCAAACTGTATTTTCCTTAATGAGGTGAATGTACTATTGAAAAAGACATTGGCATTAGAGGTAATGTTGATCGCAGTGTTTAATATGTATGGCCAAATTAATGATACATCAACGTTTCATATTATAAGAGGTTATATGGAATAATAAACAATATTTTTGTGTTCAAAGTTTTTATAGCAAAGAAATATGTTCATATTGAAATAATTATATCTAATGATTAATATGTTATTTACAATTAAAAAGGCTTAATAGAAGATTGAACTAAGAGCAATTAACCAAATTAAACTTTTTTTAATGATTCTTAAGTTTTTTTATGCAATAAAAATGATATCATATTTTATTGTGTGGCACTTTTAATAGAAAAGATTGACATTGGGTGTTTTGATTATAAAGGAAAGCATCATGCAAATTGCTTGGTATGTCATACTTTTGAAGATTATTTTGTCTCCCCATGTCATTCCCATGCCATTTTCCATGCATCATAGTTAAGGATTGTAATAAATAGAAAGCATTATAGTCATATTCTCCCACAAGAACTACATGAGGATGGCCGGCATATATAACTAATAATCATTGCCTCTGCAAAACAATATTCGAAAAACTAATTGAAAGAACTACAATTTTCTATTAAAATAACATATAGATTAATAACCATCAAATTAAGAAATAATAACAAAGGACAAAGATATGTTAACATTTCATGAATATAACTTATACCGAAAAAACTCAATGGCAAATTCCCAATTCCTTGAATATGAATCATGAATTCTCTCAAAAATCCATACTACCTCATTACATAGTGCAACATATGCCTATTTAATTTGCAAACCTTTTTTGTATAGGGATTGTACTCATATCAGGTATGTATATATCTTTAGAAGAGTACAAGCTAGCTCAAACCTCAAAGGGACAGCACAAATAAAACTTAAAATATAGTTAAACAATTTATTCTGACCTTTGCAGTGCTACATGTTTCAAAAGCTTCAAAGTGTACAATCAAAGTTGAAAGCCAAAATAATATCTGTTGGAAACAACAATGCAATACGTACCAAGGCATACTGGGCAATTCACTTGCTCCGATGAGCTCGCAAGTGAGCCCTGTGTGTGTTCTAGTGAATCTGTATATTGTACATGCAATGCATATAACACCCGGCAAGCATCAACCTGCAGGTAAATTTTGAAAAGAAAGACATTTACAACAGAAAGCAGCCAATCATCAAAAGAGCAGATTGAATAACTGGAAATTTTTATGAAGAATTTGCATACCTCCAGCGAAGAGTACCTCTTTCCCCTGAAATGTTTGAAGAAACTGTCTGTAGAAGTTTGGTCATTGAACCTTATAAGTACGTTATAATGATCTTCCACCCCGGCGTTCCTGCAATTGAAAATCGTTGGCCATGTTTCCCTCTAAACTAAAAATAACATCATCCTCACCTCACAATTCGCATCTCAACCATTTGCTGCACGAAGGAGCCGCAGAACCTGCAGAAATCGGCATACGTCATGTGGTTGGGAACGGCCAACACGCACACAAGAGGCTTTCTATCCACCTGCAAAACAAAACCCCAATCCGATGTAAATAAGTCCTATAAACCTACGTTTTCATGAGTAAACAGCATAAGCTCGACGAATTCATTCGAGAGATCAAAAGCGGAGGGGAGGAATACCGGAAGACTGTGAGAAGAGGACGGGTCTTCGTGAAAGAGATGCATGATTCCCCGCGTTTCATCGATTCTAGGGTTTCCGGATGAGAAGGGGACGGCTTCAGTGAGGCCGGGAGCAGGGGACTGGCTGATATCGCCTCGGTTAGAGACAGGGGAAGGGATGGTAGCGTCTTCTCCGGCTGCGTCGATGCCGCTAGTTGTGGTGGCGGACATGGCGGAAAATGTGACGGCGAGGTGGCCCAGATGATTGCGGTCTGCAATCCCTGCTTCGCTCCCTCGCTTCTCCGATGAACTAATTTTATTTCCAAAAAGAATTAGTCGACTGTATCTGCACATAAAAAGAAAGATTGAACCATCCGCGCACCAAAACATTGATATTTATAAGACTAGTAGTAAGAAATTACATGTGCTTGATTAATAAATAGCAACGATTCTTGTGTTTTGTATGCAATTATCCCTTTTTTAAAAAGCATGATATTTTGGGATCATTTTTAATTTTATTTTTTTTATTTTTTTTTATTTTTTAATTTACTTTTACTTTTGTGTGCATGAAAATATATTTGTTGACCTCACTTTTGGTTGAGGTCTAGAAACTTCTTTAGTAGCCTAGGTCTAGCCATAGGACTTTCCTATTGACTAGTCTTAGAAAACTAGAAAAGTTACCCTCACCATTAGAAACTCAAAACTCTTTTTTTTTACTCAACTGAA